GCATTCGTCCTCGCTGTATTCATCCGTCAATCGCCATAAAGGCAACAACCCTGGGAAGTAGCGCTGTTACGACAACAAGCCTACTAACAACCCACATAACTACTGTGTGTCCGCCGTGGGTTGTAAGCTTGTTTTCGCACCAGCGCTACTTACCAGGGATAATGCGTGTGTGGGGATTCACGCACGAACACAGAATAGTACGAATGCCGGAACCACCCATATAAGTACTGTGTGGCCGCCGTGATTGGTGAGCTTCTTTTCGCAACAGCGCTACTTACCAGGGTTGTTGCCTGTGTGGCGATTCACGCATGAATACAGAAAGTCGAAACTTTGGAACGACACACATTAAAAGTGTGTGACCGCCGTGGCTAGTGGGCTTGTTTCCGCAACAGCGCTACTCACCAAGAGACTACAAAGTCTACGAGCTACGGCAGCACCGCCACCTCCGCTGCTGCAGGACGCCACATTTTTTTAGGTTATGAGCCTCGCTTTACGCGAACACTAGGAGCTGCGGACGTCACGACGGAGGTCAAGATATCCTACTGCTGTGGACTACGACATCCGTCTGTGGACTTCGAGCGGAAATCTGGATTCGGAGATTTGGGAGATCATCAACGGTCAGCGGAAACGAAAGTGAGCGCAGTACTTGGTCATCTACACCAAGGGGCTGAGAGTTCATTACACACACAGGTTNGAAACTTTGGAACGACACACATTAAAAGTGTGTGACCGCCGTGGCTAGTGGGCTTGTTTCCGCAACAGCGCTACTCACCAAGAGACTACAAAGTCTACGAGCTACGGCAGCACCGCCACCTCCGCTGCTGCAGGACGCCACATTTTTTTAGGTTATGAGCCTCGCTTTACGCGAACACTAGGAGCTGCGGACGTCACGACGGAGGTCAAGATATCCTACTGCTGTGGACTACGACATCCGTCTGTGGACTTCGAGCGGAAATCGGGATTTGGAGATTTGGGAGATGATCAACGGTCAGCGGAAACGAAAGTGAGCGCACTACTTGGTCATCTACACCAAGGGGCTGAGAGTTCATTATACACACACGTTACCACTGTTGCAACAGCAGTAGTGGGTACCTCTGTGGTGAACAAGCAGCAAAGTGTTTCGCGGGAAGCCTCAATTTAGACATCGAGCAAATACTTCTGCGGCGGAGACAGGAGGGAAGACTGTATCAACAGCGAAAGTCGACCGGGAACCGTAGTCCTATTCACCGATTCCCTAAGTGAGGAAAGGGTATCAGGAGCGGGGTCGCAAATTGGCCTACAACCGGAGTTCTATTCATCACTTCTCTATCTAAGTGAGAAGAGGGTTTCGGAAGCGGGCTCACGAATCGGCAACCGGAGTCCTCTAAATCAATAGAAGGAGCGGGGCTGGAAAAATCTCAGCGACAGATAGCTGAGTAATACACCAACAAAAATACTCAAGACGAGATCATCAGGACAAAACCAGAAATGGAAGCAACATTGGGAACTGGAGGCGGAGGCAGCATCTGGAGTGATGGATCCACAAACCTGGCCAACGTCATCAGAGGACTCCCCAAGTTCGATGGAACGAAACCAGAGGACTTCAACGACTGGATGAAGAAATTGGGTGTAGTCGTCGGCGTTACTCGGAGGGACATCATGCCACTTCTCAAGGGAATGCGCAGGCCTGATCCCTCGGACACCACCTTCGCCGCATACGAGAGAGCCAACGAAGACCTCTACGTAATCCTATTCTGCCTCGTCGAACTGCCGGCTGCACCAGCCGTACACAAGCACGAAGACGACACCAGCCTTAGCGGCGACGGGCAGGCAGCATTCGCGGAACTGAAGGCCAACTACAATCGAGTGACAGATGAAGTGATCAGGGCTAAACTGGACGACCTGGAAAGGACGGTCATGGAGCCAGGAGAGAACCCGGACGATTTTTTCAACAAGAAACACCGCCTCCGCTCTCAACTAGAGAAAATGGGGGAAACCATCTCCGATCGCCGCTTCAAGGACATCTGTGTGCAAAGGTTTTTCCGAGAACTACAAGGACATCAAGATGATGTTTTCCGCGACCCATCATTCGACGTACNTTTTTTTCAACAACAAACACCGCCTCCGCTCTCAACTAGAGAAAATGGGGGAAACCATCTCCGATCGCCGCTTCAAGGACATCTGTGTGCAAGGTTTCTCCGAGGACTACAAGGACATCAAGATGATGGTTTTCCGCGACCCATCATTCGACGTACAACAGATGCAAGCCACCATGCGCAACATCTTCCTTGACGAGCAAATGCGCAAGAGAACCAAGGGCCAAATCGCTGGCCGCGGATTCGCCATGGCTACCAAGACATCTGGCCCCATCTGCTTCGAGTGCAACGAACCGGGACATGTCAGGAGGAACTGTCCCAATCGCCAGCGGGAAAGCCATATTGCAAAGAAGACGAAGCCTGCGGGAGCAACCAAATGGTGCTCCGTCCATAACACCACTACACACTCCGACGAAGAGTGTTACAACCAAGGAGCCAAGCGACCAGAACGCACGGGCAAGGCCTTTTCTGCATGCACACACTGCGTGCACTGCTCAACCCAGTCAAGAGACATACAAGCCAAGCCTACCACAACAGAAATTCCCAAAGAAACAGAGAAGACCGAGAAGGCAGAGATCGACTTCTCTTACGACGAAGATGCATTCAAGGGTGGATTCATGTACCATGCTACATGCAGCAAGGGAAGCGGACGCACTTTCACGACAACTGCAACTGGGACTTCCGCGCTGGTGGATTCTGGAGCTTCTGAAACCATGTTCGACGACCGCCTCATCCCGAATGGACGTCTCGAAGAAGAACGCCCGACGCCCAAGATCATCGACGTTGCAGGAGAAAGCCAACTACGAGGCACTACCACTGGGATCCTACACTGCACCATCGAAGACGACAAAGAACAGCAACTACCCGTCAAACTACAAGGTCTCATCGTGCCAGGACTAGGCCGGAACATCTTCGCACCAACGGCCCTTCTCAAGGAGGGCCTCCGATGTGTCCTGGAAGACAAGACCCCACACCTCACCATTGGCGGAGAAGTCGTCGTTCCTCTGAAACAAGAGACTCAAGACCAAGGCATGTGCACCCTCGCCATCACATTCAAGGGCGATCCAGCGTCGACAAGCAAGACACCCCCGAACAACCAAGAACCAGGGCGCAAGCCGAAGTTCGGAAAACCAGAAGCGGTACAGATCGATCACACTCCGCACGCGACATGCTCAGTGGCGATGAGCGTGAGCGCCGACCTCTGGCACCGGCGCCTCGGCCACATCAATCCACGTGCTATGGAGATTTTGCGGCGCAATCCCGCCACAGGTGTGAAATATGACGGACCTGTATCCCCGTGCGACAACCGCCACATCACGAAGCACAAGAAGGCTGCCGCCCCGGACAAGACCAGCCGTGTACTGACCAAACCAGGCCAACTCGTCCAGTTCGACAACATGGGACCAATCGACCCGCCTGCGAAGTACAACGGACGCACCTACTCCTATGTACCCAAAGCGACCGACGTCTTCACCAGAATGCGGGAAGTGTACCTACTGCGCGACAGGACCGAAACCACGCAAGCTCTGCACGCCTACAACATGCAAGTAGCATCTGAAGGCTACCGCATCGAGGTTCTACGTTGTGACAAAGGCGGAGAGAACACTGGGGAAGAAATGCGCAACTACTGTAGGGAGTCTGCGATCAAGCTGGAATCCGCCGCGACCAACACGCCCCAAGAAATCGGATTGTCAGAAAGGGATGGCCAGACACTTGCGGCTGTGACTTGAGCTCTACTGCGCGATGGAGACTTCCCAAAACACATATGGGGGGAGCTCATGATGACTGCAGCTTACCTGACCAACAGGACCCCACACGCGGCGGTAGGGGGAGCCACGCCGTATTCCAAGATGTACAACACAACCCCGGACCTTTCTCGACTTCGTGCCATCGGCGCCCGCGCATTCGTTCATCACGAGCGATACAAGAAGAAGCTAGACGATCGGGCCTTTGAAGGCAAGCTCTGCGGT